ATTTATTAGTGTTGGTGGCAGAGAATATACCTAGGAATCATTCAATGTGGAAAAAGATGTGTTCACCAAATGGGAATTTGGCAGTTCTGTGCCTCTCATCTCCCAAATAGACATGACAGGCTGCCTGAGCACAAGGAACAAGCAGCCCCAGCAGCTCTGAGACTGCTAGGGAGCTGTGAAGTGTCCAGGCATCTCCCAATGAAGTGGGAACAGAGGCTCACAAGCCACCCCATGCAGTAGCTGGGACTGAGGGTGACACCTCGGACATTCACGCCACACATGTTGTGCTTGGGGGAGCTGTTTCACTGAGCCTGAGTGGGAGAGGAGCAAGCTGCCTGTGACATTTGCACAGAGTCTGTGACAGGACATCCTCTGGTGCCTGCACTGGTCAGCACAGCCACAGCAGCACAAAACACCCCCAGCCAGAGACGCCAAAGCGACCTCTGCTTGCAGCTTGCCAAGCTCCACCCCAGGGTCTTCCTATGGGGAAAGCACTGGCCAGAGGAGACAGGATGTCAACATGCATCAGTGATAGCAGTGGCACAGGCCACTGGCACCTCATTCACAGAGGAAAGACATGGCCCAACGCCCCTCTCTGGGAGACCTTGGCTGTGTCCTGCATGGCAGTGGGAAGCCCTGTCTGAAGGAAGCCCAGAAACAAGGAAAATTTGCCACCAACCCCATCAGAAAGGTCATCAGTGTCTTGCTCCTTTCAAAGAGTGGTGCCAGCAGGAAAGGAGAAAGTGGATGAGCAGGAGGAGGACGAAGAGGCAGGTGCCCACGAGAAGCAGAGAGGGGTACAGTTGCAGTTGTCCCTGGGTAGCCAGCCTGTGAGCAGGACAGTGCCTGAGTGCTGGTGCTGCTCTCACTGGCATCATGTCTCAGCCTTGGATGGGATGCCCACTCCTTGGCTTCACAGGGGCAGTTACAGTATTAGAGCACATGGAAAATGAATAGTGGCATGAGAGAAACTTAACCTGTTTCTTCTGAACATACCCTCAGCAGAAAACATCCTACAGGCACTGCAGAGCCAAACCCTCCAAGTTGCAGCATGGCAATACAGGTTCAACTGGGAATCATTTTGGATTGGGTCAAAAGCTTGAAAATGCCCTTTGTAACTCATAACCCCAAATTTGGCACCTTAAGCACCTGAGGGTGCTTGGTTGCAGCAGTGCAGAGAGAAGGGTGGCACTGGTGGCCACGGTGACCTGCAGATCCCTGTAAAGCCCTGTGGGATCCTCCTGTGGAAGATGTCCTCACAGCACAACGTATGCAGGGAATGTGTTCCACCTTCCTGATCACAGCCAGGTGGATTGCATCAGTGTCACCTCAGAGGTGATATTTGTCAGACTGCCATTTGGACCATCTGAGAGGTCTTCATTCACTCCATGGCCCCAGCCCTGTTGGCTCTAACATGGCAATGGGCTTATTGACCAGTGCTGTCACTGTAAATGTTTTGGGGCGTGGGAGGGAAGCATCTCTCCTTCACTGGAAGTGCCTCAAAGTAGTGTTTGGCTCTACAACGAAGTTTGTCTCCTTCAGCAACGAAGTTTGTCTCCTTCAGCAGAGTCAGTAACACTTTGGCTCAGGAACAGGGATATTTCGGGCCATGATGAGACCATAGTGTGAGACAAGTGAGCAGAAGAGACCAGGGATTCAGAGTCATCCTATACCTAAATCCAACAGTGCCTGGGCACCCCAGCTGCACCCACACCTGAGCAGGAACCAGTCCGGACCCAGCTCACTTTTGCCTCCCCACCGCTTTACTGAAGAATGAATGTGCCCCCCACTGGTGGCTGGAAAGCCACCACAGCTGAGTTGTCTCCTTGCATTTCTCCAGGACAGCAACATGAAGGGATGCGGCTCCCTCTGCTGGGTTTTCCTGCAGAAGTGAGGCACATCCTTGCAGAGGTGTGTGTGATCAGCGGTGCTGCTTCACCTCCTTATTCATCATGAGGCTTATTTTAAGGAAGAAAACTCTTCCAGGTCCACAGCAAGACAAGAACCTGGAGAGTGCTGTTACTGCCAGGGTTTCATGCTGGATGAGCTCTTTCTTTGGATGCGTGCCATTTAGTCACTGTTGTTGCAACCCCTTTTTTCCTAGAAAAAGACAAAAATGTCCATTGTTGCTCCACCCAAACGCATGGACGGATAGGACCCAACCACACCAGCTCTATAAAGAAACATTTCAAATGCATCACTTGAGTTTGGCAGCTTTATTAGAGTTGTTAAGCTTACTCCTCTAAACAATCTACCTCCGCAGTCTCACCCCAGCACAGCCAGAAACGTGTCAAAAGAAACAGCCAAAGCAGTTTTTCCAAAATGACACATCTCCCAGCCAGCTTCCTTATATAATCAATTATATAATCAATGATGATGCACTGGGTTTTCATGGCAAGGTTTTGGTACTAAGGGGGCTGCATAAGGGGTCCCTTATGTAAGAAGCTGTCAGAATCTGCTCCCATGTTGGTAGTACCCAGTTCCAGCCAACTCCAAGATGGCTCTGCTGCTGGCCAAAAACTGAGCCCACTAGTGATATTGGCAATGCCTCTATGAATCAGAAACACTGTGCAATGGCAGCTGTGAGAGAGTGAGAATACGTGAGAGAAACAGCCTTGCAGACTCCACAGTCAGTGAAGACGGAGGGGAAGGAGGTGCTCCAGGTTCTGGAGCAGAGATTCCCCTGCAGCCTGTGGGGAAGACCATAGTGACCCATGTTGTCCCTGTGGAAGTCCACAGTGGAGCAGGATGTGAGGTAGGGAAATGTCCTAGTTAGAGCAGCTGGGACCAGTTCATCACTGTGTGGGTGTAACCCAAACTGTGTATTCTACACCCTCTATATCATTTCCCAGGAACTGTTAACAATAGTCCATTTGCAGCAGCTGCCCACAGCACACCTGACCCCTCAGGCCATAAGCTGGGTGTTAAGAAGCCTGTGAGATAGGAGGATGTTCCTATCCTCACACCAATAACTCAGGTGTAATAATTCCCCGGAGGAGAGTCGTTAGCACCTCCACACCCAGCCTGAGGGGCATTTCTGCTAATGGGCCATCAAGGATTCCAAAAATATCTCACGACTCACAATCACCCACTGTGGAACTCCCTGTCCTGGGGGAGGTACTGGGCATTCCCACTCAAACCTGAGTGTATATAATATTGGGGTCTTGCAACTTCTGGACTCACTTGTCAGATCCAGAGGACACCAGAACCTCGACCAGACTGCAACCATCACCCTCGACCAGACTGTGACCAGCACTCTCACCAACAAGTTTTCCTCTCCTTTTACTTTGGACTCAGGGGGACCACGTGGGGCTCAGCACAGGGGCCAATGAACACCATTCTGTTCGTGCCCCAGGGTGTTGGGTTCTACATCTAGGTTTTGTGGGTTAAAACCAATTGTATGTCCGTATAATTGTATTTATTGTATTATTTTTACTAAATTGTGACTCTGGCTTATGATCTCTTTTGAGTTGGGTTCATTTCTCCTGCTGGTTTACCTTTAAACCAGCACAGGAAAGAAGTACCAGGATGTATGGGGGTGAGCTGATCCTCTTTTCCATGAGTTAGCAGGCAAAGTCAGTTAATGAAATATAAGGCAGTTACTCCCCTGAGGAGAGAACTGCATAACAAGAGAGGAGCTTCCAAAAGGAAAGAGAGCATCTAATGAAGTGCTTTTACCAGCCTGTGTGCTACATTTTCTCAGAGAAGTATATTCTCTCTTTCTTCAGGGGCTGCCATGTGGCAAAGCGAGCACACGACAGGAAGTAGTTTGTGCATGTGGCTACTGCTGTGCCCAGGGAATTCTTTCTAGGAACAGCCCAACTAGCTGGAGCATGACGTTCTGAATATGCTGTTCCTTACTTGCCCAGGGCTCGGCAAGCTGGTAGGCCAGATTCTCAGAAAAGCAGCTTGCCAAAGCCATTGCATGCTCCTCCCAGCCTCCTCCGGCTTGATTGATAAGCAGTGTCTGGTTCTGCAGGCACAGTGAAGCTGCACGGTCTCAGGGCTGGCGCAGGTCTAATCTTGAAAAGCTTTGTTTCTGTGCCTCACTTCTCCAATGCTCTGGAAACCCAGCCCTCCTCTGCTCCAGGCCCAGGATGTGGAAGACCAAGTGGAAACACCACCAGTAGCGGTAAGGAAGCGTCAGGAAGTAGCTCAGGCTTCTGAATGACACAATCTCCACAAGAAGCTGGTTTTGTGGGGAAGTGGGGGGTGTGAACTGAAGGAAGACGTGGAAGCTGCTGGTTATGAACCACTGCTTCCCACTGCCCGTGGTGTCTGAGAAAGCGCTTTGGGGTTCAGTTGCTGGATACAGTGTACAGTTCTGGAATACAGCATACAGTTGCTGGAACTGAGTACAGTTCTGCTGTCCCCAACATAAGAAAGACATGGAACTGTTGCAGCAAGTCCAGAGGAGGCCCACAAAGTTGATAAGAGGACTGGAGCACCTCCCCTTCAAAGAGAGGATGAGAAAGTTGGGACTTTTCAGCCTGGAGAAGGTTGTGTTGAGACCTCACAGCAACCTTCCAGTATTTGAAGGGGGCCTACAGGGAAGCCAGAGGGGGACTCCTTGTCAGGAACTGTAGTGATAGGACAAGGAGTAATGGGGACAAATTGAAAGAGGAGAAATTTATGTTAGATACTAGGAAAAAGTTCATTACTGTGAGGGTGGTGAGACACTGGAACAGGTTGCCCGGGAGGTTGTGGATGCCCCAACCCTTCCAGCGTTCAAAGCCACATAGGATAAGGCCTTGAGCAACTTGGCCTAGTGGGAGGTGTCCCTGCCCATGGCAGCGGGGGTTGCGCCTGGATGATCTTTTAAGGTCCATTCCAACCCCTTAACATTCTATGATTCTACGGTTCTATGATTCTATACTGAACGGCCGAGAGAACTGACGAAAGCGCGACTCCGGGGCAGAAGCGGCTGGCGGGAGCCGGCCAGGGCCGGGCGGCCGCCGCTCGCTCCCGGGACCGCGCCCGGGTGCCCTAGCGGAGCGGCGGCGCGGCGAGCGAAGGGTTACAGGCCCCGCATGCGCCGGGCGGGAGCGGGGCCGGCCCGGGGTCGGCGGCGCTGGATGGGCGTCACTGCTGCCCGCCGCGCTCACTGGCTGCGGGCGGCGCGGGGATGCCGGGCCGGGACGCTGAGGTACGGCTGGGCCGGACTGGGCCGCTCCCTCGGGCCCTCCTCCCCCGCTCTGCCCAGGAGAGCCCCGAGGCAGCGCCCGGGTGGGAGGCGGCGGGGGACTCGCTGCCCCCCACCCCCTCCGCCCTCCTCCATCGCGGTCCGCGGCAGCCCGGCTCTTGTTCCGCGGCCCCGGGGCAGCGGGAGGCACGGGAGGGGAGGGACGCGCGGGCCCAGCCCCGTAGCGGTGGGTCCGGGCGGTGGGGGGTGGTCGGGCCTCGGGGGGACCATTGGTGTCTTTGAATGTGCCCTTCTGGACACCGGCGTGCAGTTTCTGATCTGTCAGTGTTTCCTCATCTGCTGTGCCAAGGGGCGCAGAAACTCGTTGCCCATTAAAAAAACAGTTATATGTTTATATAAAAGCAAAACCCCAAAAAATCTTCACCCGGCCGCGTGGTTTGTATCTCCTGCCTTATCGTTACCCGAGAAGCGCCGGCAGGCGGCAGCCGGTGCGGGTAAGGAAAGGCGGGAGGCACAGCTCAGCCGAGCAGGCCATGTTGTGGTTTGGGTACGTTTGAGCCAGGTTTGGGTCGAGGGCTGTCTTAAGGAAGAGGGCCACTGGTGCCCGTGGCAGCGCGGGACCTTGGTGTGCAGAGCGGGGAGGAAGGGTAGGAGGTGCTGCCAGCAGAGGTGGATGGGATTGGGGCAAAGGTACGGGTAGGTGGTGGGAGGGGGCACCCATTTCCTTTGACATGGCAAATGGTAACCAAATGGCTGCTAATACATTCGATGTTCACAAAACTTTCCAACCACCGAACTGCAAGGAGATTCTGGAACAATCTCCCAAAAAGAGCAGAGGGACCAGAAACCACAAATAAAATGTAATCAGCCTCAAAAAAGGTCTGGCAAAGTTTTCTGTGCCCTAAAAACAATCCTTAGCATCTGGGGTCAGCTTGTCTTCCTTTCCTATAGCATGCGACATACCAGCTGCAATATTTCTTTTTGTGCCAGTCTTCATTAAAGAGCCATTTAAATTTCTGTTCTTCCTCTTCCAGATGCATCCAGTCCTAAAGGCCTTTGTGTGTGGCTCCATCAGTGGCACTTGTTCTACGCTCCTCTTCCAACCCCTTGACCTGCTGAAAACCCGCCTGCAAACTCTGCAGCCTGCCGTGAATGGGTGAGAGGGTGGGGATGTGTATGCATGGGGGGTGTGGGGGTGCTCCTCCATAGGCTTCTGCCTTATTTGCTGGCTGGGGTTTGGAGTTCAGGTTTGTAATTCAGGAACTCGGAGTCTTCTTGAAAGAGGAGGTATGTTTTTATATCATGGAGAAGGATTGATATTTTATTCCAGAAGAGGGAAAGTGTCTGCGGTTGTGAACGCTACTTTAATATAATTAATAATTAATATTACATATGCTGTAATAATGTGTAACCTCAGCATTTGTTTGTTCTCATCTGAGAGACTGGTTTGCTGGAGTGGCTGCTGTGCAGTTTCATGGGGTGTCCTCTGCCTGAAAAATCTGGTGTGGTTATCCTAGGATAACTTTTCCATGCATGCAGCTGCTCCCATTTGCTTCTTGTATGCCTATATCTGCCGCTGCTAACAAAGGCAGTGATCAGCTAAAAATGCTAATGAGAGTGGGCTCTAATGTGTGTTACAAGTGGTGAGAAACAGAAGGTGATTGAGAAGCCCTGGAAAGAGAGACCAAGAAAAGCAGGCTGAGTTGAGAAAGAGCACCTCAGAGTAATGCACAGAGATAGGCATGAAAGGGGGGGACCATGGAGTACATCTGCCAGGTAGCAGGAGCAGGTCATCTCTGCAGTTCCTGTCTTTCTTTCAGGTCTGGTCGTGCTGGGATGGTAAGGCTGCTCTTTAGGGTTGTTCGTACTGAGAGTATTCTGGGGCTCTGGAAAGGTGTCTCTCCAGTAAGTGGCTGTTTTAACCCTGACTTCTGAAAATAAATAGATAAATAAATTTACTGTTTATTACTACATCTGCCTGGATTTAAATAGCCAACTCTTGTACAATTATGAATGAAACCACATGATTTAGATTATATCCAATTTTAAGGAGTTACTGTTGTGAATTCCGCTGATTTGGTTATGGCACTCCCTGTGGTTTTGCAGTCCTGACCAGCTGAACACTTGAATACTTTTGCAAATGTGGGATGGCAACTGCACGAACTTCCTTTTGGTTTGGAATATCTTGTTCCTAGAAAACTGCCATTGAGGAATGCATTAAATCCTGGCATCATTTGAATCATTTGTCTGTCAGTGCCATAAATAATTTTTACCTTATCTTCTTTCCTTGGCATGTTAACTTTAGTGATTTCTTTGTTTTCTACAAAGCCTTCTGTCAAGTTTAACAGTCTCATAAATGTTCTGTAGTACATTTTGTCTTACGTTAGCTTTTTCTTTCTTCGTCTGCTTCTGTTTCTTCTGAAGTCCTTTGCAAGATGTATTCCTGGGGTTGGGATTTACTTCAGCACTTTGTACATGATGAAGCAGAAGTTCTTAGTGGACCGTTCACCCACAGCCCTGGAGTCTGTCTTCCTGGGTGCCACTTCACGTGCAGTTTCTGGGATTTGCATGTTGCCAGTGACTGTAGTGAAGACCCGATATGAGGTATGCCTTTCCAATTAGTTCCCTGTTAGTGGTATCACACAGCTTCCTTGTGATGAAAAATAAGTTCTTCTGTCTGGAGAAGGTTACTCCCACTGGAGTACAGGCAGGGGTGTAGACCTGTTTTCATCCTGGTTCACACACTGTGCAGGAGCTGCCACACACTGATACTTAGACAAGAAGTGTAAGATGACACAAAATTCACCCTGAGATTTTTAAGTTTCAGTTGTATAGGATGTATGTGTAGCATCTTTCATGTTTTACCTTCTTGAAAGATTGTTTTAAAGGCTGAGGCAAGTGAAACCCAGTTTTTGTCTTGGGCTGTCCTCTGTGCTGTCATCTCGGGCATCACAGTGAGTGCATACTACCATTTCTTTGGATGGCCTCAGGGTGTGTATAGGGCTCCTTGACCTGTGCCTGGCACATGGATTACTGACCTTCGTGTACCCTTGCAGAGTGGAAGATTTGGCTATGGGAGCGTATATGGTGCTCTGAAGAATATCTATCAGACGGAAGGGGCTCGTGGCATGTTCAGCGGGCTCACGGCGACACTGCTGCGGGATGCCCCCTTCTCTGGCATATACCTGATGTTCTACACGCAGACCAAAAAACTCACACTGCAGGGTAAGGATGATTGTTGGAGGCTGGGATGGAAAATATTTCTCTTCTCAGATCTTGCCCTGCTGCTGACAGCCTGCATGCTCTGCTTATTGCCCTCCACCTCAGGAGTTAAATTAGTCTCTTGCAGGGCCTTAGGTGAGACATCCACATTTTCCTGTGGAGAACTGTAGACCTATAGCTGAGGTCAGTGCAGAAATGACCCTAAATTGATTGATGTCTTAATGAAGACTGATGCAATAAGGTGGGTTAGGGAACAGTTGAAAGAGAGCACATCTTCAGCATTGCTTGCTACTTCTGCTTGTCTTGCATACTGCTCTGTTTCCACTGAACTGGGGCTTCTCTGACGTTAGAACTGACTGGGGCAACACTTGTACAGTCTTGTCTTTTCTGAGTTTCTGTCAAATTCAATTCCCCAGCAAGTGAGGCTTTTTAGTAGTGCTAACTTTTGACTAGTAGCCGTATTTCCCTTTGAAAGGTTTCTTTACCTGCAAGGATTTTACAATGTTGATTTAATCATTCAGTAGCTTTCTCTTTGTCACATAGCATGAATGTTCCTGGCCTGTTTTCTGTCTGAGTGCATTCCCTTTGCTCTGTTGCAGACCAGCTGGATCCAGTGCTCATGCCCTTGCTGAATTTTGGCTGTGGGATCTTTGCGGGAATCTTGGCCTCGCTGGCAACGCAGCCTGCTGATGTCATCAAAACACACATGCAGCTGACCCCCCAAAAGTACCACAGGACAAGCCAGGCCATTGCCTTCATTTACAAGGTGAGTGAATCCCTTCTAATACATGCAATCACAACTTCATTTCTGATCCCCTTGCTTGAAGCACAGCTATTCTGGGGAAGGTTTTGCCTTTTAAAGGAGGTGAACAAGTGTCACTGCTTGATACCCTCTTGCAGTCGGGATAATCAGTGTCACCAGTTTCAGATGCTGAAGGGAAACCAAGACTATAGTATGTAGTCTGAAATGATGGTTTCAGATACAAACCAGATACAAAATAATTCTTTGTCCTTTGGACACTAGAAGAGAAATAAATGCCCAGATCTGTATCCCAGGAATAGGATGGAGATGTACTCAAAGTCCACCTTTCCTTCCTGCTCTCAGAAGGGCAGATCTTGACAGGTTTGCTTTATTTCCATATTGAACTCTATTCCTAAACAGGATTCTGTTTATTTTTGTATGTATTTTATGTAACTCTTTTCTCATATCAGAAGGTTTTTTTACTTCAGTATTTATAAATCTCAGTTTTTACAGAACAGCTAAGTGATTTTTGTAAATATGAAGCTCTAAAACAAAGACAAGTAATTTTCCTGAAGTGTCTTGAAACTGTTACCATGGTTCTCTTTGTTGGACTTTCCTAACTATTGTCTCCATCTTGTCATTGTGTTCTCCACTCAGTGCTCTTCCTGCTTTCTTGGGTAGCCTTGCAATTGTGCAGTGCTACAGGTTATTTCTAAACATTAAATGCTATTTAAGGCTGGACCTTGCACAAACTGATCTGGGTCTGAGCTGAAATACATCCTGTGCTCTTCCATATAATAAATGATGAGAAACTGAAACGCTGGAGGCAGACTGTGATGACTTGCTTTTTGTGTATCTCCTGTTGCAGGACTTTGGGTTGGTTGGCTTTTTCCGAGGTGGTGTGCCCCGTGCCCTCAGGCGCACTCTGATGGCAGCAATGGCATGGACGGTGTATGAACAGATGATGGAAAAAATGGGCTTGAAGTCTTGACCGAGTTGCATGAGAAATGACCAGCTTCACTCCTTCTCCTGCTTGCTGTGATCAACTGGCACTAGGAAGTTCCCTGTTCCACAGAGGAATAAGCCTTGCTCAGCCAGGAGGAAGAAAGCCCTTCTGAGACAGGGGAGTAGGCCTTTTGGCAAGTAGAGGAACGGAAAGACTGGACCTTTGCATTGTTTGATCAATGTATTCCAGAAGGACTGCACTTGCAGACTGCCATGGGAAATGGCAGGGTTTCAGCTATTTTTAAAAATAGCTCTGTGCTCACCACCTTTACACAGTGAGACATTCCTAGAACAAAAGTGTTTGAGGAGAAAACCTGCCAGCCTGTTCCTTGCTAGTGTGGCCAGTAAGGCCACAGTGAGCCACCGTCTGATATAGAACCTCCTTCCTCATATGCTTTGTACTCAGAGAGGAACATTGCAGGCCCCAGTGGGGGACTGGATGTGTCTCTTAATGCTTATATTGCAGGAGTGGCTGGAAGAGAAATGAAGTGCTGAAGGAAAGCTAGAAACATGGTCTCTGACATCACTTTCGTACTGTGTGTGATAGCAGAGAGAGTAACTGGAACCTCCTTGCTGCGTTTTGTGTTATTATGTGATTGAGCATCTTCACACCGTTGAAGTGTGCTTCTGCCTCTACAGCAGTGTTTGCACTGGAATTAAGAAGCATAAGGCACTTTAGAATTGATTGCTACCAAAGTGCTACTTGTTCTCTGAAAAAAAATTCCTGCTGGTTTTAACATTAGCAGAAACGCTCAAGTGGGTTTTATTGTGCGTTTCTTTTTTTATCACAGAGATTTACTTGCTTCCCACTACTCGTTTGTTAATCCCCGATCAACACCCTCAGTGTGAACTGGTCCTTCGATGTAGCTTTGAGGGTTATGGCTCATAATGCATAAAGGTATGATGGAAGCAGATAGAGATACTGGCACTTCAGGTTTCCCTTAAAAGCAGCTGCTGATTGCGTGTGGAGTGTGTTTGGGGTTTGGAAAGAAAAGGCTGCTCTTTCTGTAAGATTTCTCCAAAGTTTGAGCCCTGTGAGTGCTTGGTAGGGAACTTTACTTCTCCTTCGGCTCCACAGAGACCATCACATTTTCCCGGCCGATCATTTTCTCTTTTCAGGTAGTCCATATTTGAGTATCCCTGAGTTTAGGCTTAGAGATAAATACACATTTTCCATCCACTGTGCCTTCTTACTCTTTCCTACTGTGTTACACAGACCTCACAGTGTGTGCTGTCCAAACCTGGGTACAGCCTGCTCCCCTCTTCACTTGTGCCTCTGCGGTGGGTTGGATCTCTTGCAGCTCTGTTAGCATAGCCATGAAGCTGGCATGGAAGTGTGCATCCTGTTCTGTAGTGTGCCTTGTAGAAAACTTAGCTTTGGCTTTTATTTTCTTAAACATTTAGGGATATTACAATTCACTTAAAAACCAGAGCATCTGTTTCTAAAGACGAAGGCATGACACTGTAGCTGTATGAACAATCAGTGCTACCTACCTGTTCATAAATTTCAGAGTGTAATTTGGACAATCACTGCCTGCCCTGGCAACCTCCTCAGCACAAGAGTAGAGGGGATGTGGATTGTTAAAGATGTTCTTTACCAGATTTCAACTCCAAAAAGGTTTGATAACTGGTGTGAAAGTTGAGTAAAGTGTAAGGGGACAGGCTGGAGGCTTGCAAGGTGTTGCCTGTTTTCAGTCTCAGCCCATCTGTGAGGGGACACTGACGTTTCACAGTGCAGGAGTCTCTAATAATGGTGGTGGAGGGTCCTGTGTGCACGTCTATGTGTTGATAATAGAGCACTGCATCAAATCATTCCACATTGTGATTGACAAGCAGCCAGATTCCCTCTGCTGCTTCTCACTGTCAGGCATGTGGCACATTATTTACCAAATCCTGTGATTGACAAGCAGCCAGATTCCCTCTGCTGCTTCTCACTGTCAGGCATGTGGCACATTATTTACCAAATCCTTTCTTTTGCTGTCCCTCCTACTCGTAGTGACCTGAACTTCTGAGAGCGCATGAAACCATGGTAACTGCTCATCCTGCTTGTTTGTTATCCTGGGCACTACTGGCACAAAGAGCTGGAGAACCAAGTGTAGGGTTGCTGACCTGGCAGAATAAGGTGGCAATTACACAAGTTACCTCATTTGTCTTTTATTCCCCTGTACATAGGATCAAACTAACATTGTGCTGGAAGCCTGAATTTATTTGGGGCTTTCTGAATCTGGTGTGTGAGTTGGATCTGTTGATCTCCTGGGCAGTGGTAGTCAAGGGGGGGTGTGTGGGGTCACCTTCAAGGTGCTTCACACGTATTTTAGTTCCTGATTTAGCGATGGCAAAGCAGTGTGCAGCCTGTGCAGACAGAAACATAAGGCAAGTGAGCCAAGGAATGCCAGGTGATAAATCTGGAATTAGGTAATATCCTCATCAGGAACTTGAAATTCAGAAATGTTTTGGTGGGTTTTATGCCCTGTACTTCTGCCTGGTCAAATAACAAAGAACTAGAGAATTTACTCCCATGCACCACGTTTTAAAGTCTACTGTTTGTCTTAAATCTTGATTCAGGCCTAAAGCAGTGTTTGCTTTTTCTTTGGGAAAGTTCTTCCATTCCCCTTTGTAGAGAATGAGGTGATGTGATGCTTTGATGTTGGAGTAGAGTGAAAAACTACATGCTTTAGACTTGTGAATTAGCCTGAGCTCCTTTGAGTATAATAAACAGTGAATCTAAACTGCACTATGTTTCATCTACCGTTGGTGCTGCAAATCCAAAAACTTACCTACATGTGAGCTGGGGAGAATGAATTCTGCGGTGCAAGTTTGTTGTTTGTTTTTCTTTATTATTTTTTTGTCAGGTCTCTTTATGGTGCAAGGGAAAGCCTGAAGTTCTGCTTCATTCTTTTTATGAAAGCTTTATCACACAGGCAAGCACAAGACTATTTCTCGGCTCTGATCCTTACTATCCTTCACCCTTTTCCCTTCTTCCCTTTCTGTTTCTAAAGTGATTTATTGAAGTTACTTTTTGATAGCTAAAGCAAGTCAAGGCAAAAAAAGAGTGAAGACTTCAAGTTTAGATATATTGCCCTTGGAGTTTAGTGCTTCTAATTAACAACAAATAGTCACTGTACAACCTAAATGCAATGTAACTTAAATAAAAGATCTGGGCACAGGTGCTTAATCACCTACCTGCATGGTGCCAGCAATTCAACACTAACAATCCTATCGGATAATCAAAGCCATCTTAGCTTGGGTTCCAGAGACAGTAGACAGTAGTGTGATCCCTTCTATGTATGGCAGGATCCCAGCTGGATCCCTCTTGGATGACCTCTGATGCTAGCAATACACTCTTAGTGAATGTGCATTGTCTCTGCTTGCCCCTGCAGCTGTGGCATATGAACACAACTGGCTAGCAAGTTGAGAAAGGCTGTATTTAAGTGAGTTGTAAGGACACAAGAGGAATAGTCTGTATATGCTTTAGAAACTTCATGTTTCCATTTTTCCTGTGTGATGATTTTTTTCCCTTGCACTGTTTTAAACAGAACTGGAACCTTGGAACATTGCATGGCTTTAAGTACTGTGAGTGCTTATGTGTCTATATAAAATATTTATGTGAGAAGGTGTATTATATGTTTTATTAAAAACGACTTGCCAAAATGAATGAAACTCCTCTTCAGTGTTTCTTTAAAAAAAAACAAAAAACCCCAACAAAACGAAAACCAAGCCACAAACCAATCAAACGCACAAGGGATGGGATGAAAGAGAGGCTGAAGAAGGCAAAAGGAGTTTCCCAAGAGAACAGAACTGTTGCATGTCTGCAGAGCCCATACAAGGCAATGAATATTCTCTTCTTCTGTGGTGTATAATATGCACAGGTTGTGCTAGTACAACCTAAATCAGCTTTACTTAAATGGAAAAAACACACAGCACTGGGGAATCTTGTCTTTTGCACAGCTTCCTTTGCCTGCCTGCTGTGTGTAAAGACAGATGGAAGTTGAATCTCCTGGTGAAATACCTGCCTTTAGGACAGTGGGGTTTTAATCTTTGTGGGGAGAGACTGTTTTCAATCTCCAGCCAACGAGGTCTTTGCTACTCAGACAGTCTGATCTCAGCGGGGGACCAGCAATTGTCTCCTGCAAGGCATAATGCATGGTGATGATGGATTGCTGGGATGTCCTCTTGCTGTCACATTATGGTCCTGGGGATTCAGTAGCAGGCATGTTGTGCTCAGCAAAACATTGATGTTGTTGATACTGAGATGTAAAGCCTCTGCACGGGAAGATCCCAAACCTCTTCTCTTTTCAGATGTTACTTAGATGATACATTCTCACATGGAACAATTTTTGTGGAGAGTTATCTGTGTGTAACAGACTTGTGAGACAGTCCTGTGTCCCCTTGTGTCAACTGGATCTGAACTACTTGTGCAGGTACCTGATAGCAATTCAGGTATGGGCTGGGACGGTGCCTGCTCTTAAACGCAGGGCTCCCCAGAGCTCTCCTGCTGTCTTGGAGAACCACCTGTTCATGCTGCTGACAGCTGCCCCAGCTGTGAGAAGAGATAGCAGACAAGCTCCCTAACCCTCTTGGGGCGGTAGAGGGTGGGAAAGACTGAAAGTTTAAAGGCACTGTCATTGTAGCGAAACATTGAGTTAGGGATCTCCCTTTCAAATAAAAAATAGGTGAACACTTTGCTAGCTTTTAAAATTTTTAATGTATTATGTGCCCTGCATAGTCACTGACACCAGAACTAAACAGAAGGTATTCCTCATCTCACACACACACATACACAGGTATGTATGTGTACTTCTACAAACTCTATGCAGAGCTCTTGTATTGGGATCCAGTTTTTGAGAAAATGTGTTTTAGGATTTTTGTTATGTTATTATACTATGTTATTGTATTATTCCCTTTCATTGTACCCCCATTTTCCCTTATTTTCCCTAAGGCTTCGAACCCTGTGTTTCTATTGGCCAGTTAGTGCTGCATTGCAGTACCAACCTTATATGGCCATTTCTTCCCTATATAGTCCTAGTTTGCATACTCTGCCCTTGCTCCTCCCCAGTTATTCCCCTTGTTCCAGCAAGTTCTGCGCCTGCCCTATAAAAGGCAGGAGCCATGTTAATAAAGAGTTCCATTTTGCACCCTACATAGGAGTGTCTGAACCCTCATTCCTATCAGGCCGTCGGGGACGCTGAGAGAGCCTGTTTGCCACACTCTTGAATATGCTTATCCCTTCTGGCTTTGCTTCTTGTTTCAAAATAGCAAGCTGATTTTCTACATTGCACTGTTTCTTAATTTCCAATTTTATGACTGTATAATGCTTTAGGAGTTTTTATCATAATGCATTAAGGAACTTTAGTAAAAATGATAAAATCCCAGTAAGAGGTTACAATGAGACCTCTGCAAGTTTTGTAACAGGTGTTAGGTAACTCATTTCTGTGTAGAACTAGAAATAAGAAGGGAATAGATTTGCCAAAGTATTTTTTCCCAAAACATGTAAGAAGTAATAACAAACCTTTGAAACAAGCCAAGATGGATTTTGCAGGGAAGCACGGTAATGTGCAGTTTCACCAGAGGTAGGTTGATCTTCACAGTTCTCCTTTGTCTTCTGGAAAGTCCAGCTCCAGGGGTGCCACACCATCTCTTGGGTGACACCCAGGGGCATGTTTGGTAGGGAAGATACTGCTGAAAGAGCTTTCTGCCTGAGACTCTTCCCAAGACACACGATTCAACCCATTCATTGTAGGACCTGTTCTGGGAGCACAGAATGCCCCCATTACAGCCCTGTGAGGAGCCCTCTGTCCCACCACTGGGGGGCCCTGTTACAGCCCCTTACTCACAGGCTTCTGGCAAGGGCTGCTGCTCTCTCCTGCAGCCTGGGCTGGCTGTCGGAGAGATGCTGTTTCTGGGGCTTTGTGACTACCCCAGGAACCTGCTCAAGGTTCTCAAGTCATCACCCAAAGGCTGGTAGTAACTCCATGATGCTTCTCTCTGTACCTGTAGGCCCCGAGTCTCCTTGGCACTGCAGGAGGACCAGTGGCTAAAAGCCCCTTTCTATGGGGTCCTTTGCATGCTACAAGTCCCTGTTCCCACGGACTGCCCTCAGCCTTCCCTTGAGCATTCCGGGCTCCATCCTGGAGACCCTATGCATGGCATGCTCCGGGGTGTCACTACCTTGCTAGTACTGACTGTAGAGTCAAAACCGGCCAAACAGGAACAGCCGCAGCTATGGCCATGTCCACAGATTGCACAAAAGAAGTAGAAACATATCTGTCCTTCACATTCAAGGTGCTCATGTTTAATATCAGCTCCAACATCTTAGTGATCAGATGAGGTGATTAAACTGTAAGAAGTTTCTCTCAGATAAGGAATATCTTGAATCCAACTCAGCTTATAAAAAGCAATGTCTGCCAAGCTCTGTATGTAATTCTGTAATAGATTTCAGTGTGAACTTTAGACCAGAGATACCAGGTCTAATACACATGGTAAGATAGATACACTTCTACCTGAGGGGCGTGTACATTTGTAACAGAGATTTATTTTAAGAAGTCTCAGCACACAGTGGAAAAACAAAGCAAGTTTTCAGGTTACTTAAGGAGAAATAATTAGAAATACTTTACTGTCAAGCTTTATCATGACTCTTCCAAGCCCTCTCATGGGCTGTGGAGCTCATGGTCTACCAGACAGTCTCCAAAGTGTAACAGGAAGAAATAAATTAAGTATTAGAGATGCCAGAGGAGTCTGGAATGCTTACCAGTGGCACTCTTTTGATAACATTGTAATTACTGCAATATTTATTACTTAACTTGCAATCATTATCTTGAAATACACTTTTAATACAGCTGGATTTTGATTGTGCAGAAGAACTCTCCAGACTAAATTCATTGCACACACCATGGTAACATCACCACCACCTCCCCTCTTCCCCCCCAAGCTAATATTCACACTGTGCTCCTGTTAGGAGAGACACATGTTGTACATAGCCCCATCAGGTCAGCTGTCACTGTCCCCAGTGCACTTGTCAAAGTGCCTCAGATGTCTATAACCTCTCAATAGTTCATGCTCCTGACAAGAGCTCACTAGCGAGTCGCTGAGTTTCATTTTACCTACTTTGTCACCACCATGTGACAAATGTCTGAATTACTCTTTTAAAAAATATCCTAAACCTGATCTGGTAATCTTGGTAATTAACATCATCTATCAAGCATGCCAGCTCCTGACCTGCAAGGTGAAGTTTTGTGGAAATGTTGGAAAGTGGCTGGCAGTGGCCCCTCACCAAAACATGACAAGGTCCCATTTTCCAGGAGGTGAAGAACATACATGAGATGGCATTGTAACCTGCTATTTAACCAATCTTCTCCAGAGCAACTCAGTGTGCAGACATCGCAAACAGGCTCTCAAGAGAATCCATGTCCAGTCACACTGCTGAGGTTAAACTAGGTTAAAACAGAGGAGAGAAAACTGTTACGAAAACAATGTGAAGATAAATTATTACTAGCAGAAAGCACTGGCAATAGTGTTTGCATGGTCCAGAAATTTGTCCAGAAATGTATCTGGATCTGGACAATAGCAAGCATAACAAAGTAAATATCACTACTTTTCTTTTTTCCACTCTCAACCCTGTGCTTACTTCCAGAATAGGACAAAGAAGAGGAGAAAGATGATGAAGATCCTTAAATCTCATCCCTTTCTGTTGCTTCTTAAAAGCAAACAAACAAACAAACCCCCCAAAAACCAAAACCCAACAAAAAACCCCATGAGGGCAAGTACCAAATGAATGTCCACTGCAGAACAGGATGTGTAAGTTCAGTGCCAATGTAATGTCTTTTTATGGACAGTTTTGGCAGAACAAGCTCTCAGAGCAGTGCCCCAGCAGGGAGGGAAACTGTGGGTGCAGGGAAGATGCTATGGCCCCTTAGAAGCTTCCCCCCACAGCAGGCAGTTTAGAAGCTAGATGTAATTCATTAAATAACCATCAGCCCCAGAAAACAAGAGCATATATTTCACTTTCAGCAGGAAAACAGAACTGTAAAGTGTTTAAAATAAATCTTTGCTCTCTCTTCACTTCAAAGACTCAAAAACTGCCTTGGGTTTGTTTGGAGCACCAGCTCTGAAGCAGTTACTCCTGTCCAGAATCATGGAAACACTGAATTAATCAGGTGGGAAAAGACCTCCCATCAAGTCTAACCTTTGATCAAACACCACTGTCAAATAGACCATGGCACGAAGTGCCACATCCAGTCCTTTCTTAAACACCTCCAGGGACAATGACTCCACCACCTCCCTGGGCAGCTCATTCCGGTGTCTAATCACCCTTTCTGTGACATTCATTATAATGTCCAACCTAAACCTCCTCTGGCGCAGCTTGAGGCTGTGTCCTCTTATCCTGTAGTTGCGTGGGAGAAGAGGCCGACCCCCACCTGGCTACAACCTTCTTTCAAGTAGTTGTAGAGAGCGATAATGTCACCCCGGAGCCTCCTCTTCTGCAGGCTAAACACCCCCAGCTCCCTCAGATGCTCCTCATAGGACTTGTGCTCCAGACCCTTCACTAGCTTCGCTGCCCTTCTCTGGATCCGTAATCCTACAAATCCTACAGCTTTCAGATCCGCACGCAGACCACGGCCGGGCAGGGCCCGGGAAGGGCCGGCCTGAACCGTCCGGTCCGCGATCGCTCCCGCCGGCACCGATCCCGCCCTGCCGGGCCGGACACGCCCCCGCCGCCGCGGAGCTCCGCCTCCCGCGCTCCCCATTGGCTGGCGAGGCTATATATAGGCCTCAGGAAGACGGAGACTTCCTTTCGGCTCCGCGCCACTTGGGCCTCCACACGGCGTTGTCAGCGTGAGTCGGGGCCGCCGCGCGGGGCGTGTCGTCCCCCCGAGGTGGTAGCGCCGGGGTTCTCTTCGCGCTCCTCCGCGGGGCCGGGGGCCGGGCCGGGCCTGGCCTGGCCGAGCCGCGGGGAAGGCCGAGGCCTGCTGGGTGCAGGGGGGAGGCGGCCCAAGATGGCGGCGCGTGCGGCTGGTCCTCGTGGCGCGTCCCCGCCGCGCTGAGCCGGGTCCCTCTGCCCGCAGATTCCCTGTCGTTGCTTCCAAAGGGAAACCCCACAATGTCCGGAGGCCTCGATGTCCTGCAGATGAAGGAGGAGGATGTCCTCAAATTCCTCGCTGCCGGGACCCACCTGGGAGGCACTAACCTCGACTTCCAGATGGAGCAGTACATCTACAAAAGGAAGAGCGATGGTAAACCCACGGGATGGGTAGCTGGGATCTTGTGGGCATGACACAGGAAAGTGCTAATGTTTGAGCTCTCTAGCATGGTTTCTCCATGGCCTGAAAGGAACAGACGTTTTTGCTGGTCAAACAGTACTAACTCAGAGAAGTAGAATGAAATATGGATTTTAGAGCTACTAGTTCTTGACTATCTTCATTTTGGAACTTGATAAATCAGTCACAGCTGGATTGGAGCAGTTCTGCTAGTTCTTGACTATATTAACAACATGGTTTTACTATCTCAGTAGTGATTCCTACTTGTTTGCGTGGTTCTTCAATCTGAGCTGCCGTCTGTGAAAAGATTAAAGCTCATACCAGGCCTAGGTTCTTGCTGATAGGTGCTAGGTGCTGGAATTGTGTTACACTAAACCCATAGGGGAGCTATTCCTTGGAATAGCTTTAATTAGAATTAGACCAGAATGCTCTCACTTTAAAAAGAACATTAAGGTGCTGGAGCATGTCCAGTAAAGGGCAACATCGTGAAAGGACTAGAGAACATGTTTGAAGAGGAGGCTCAGGGGTAACCTCATTGCTCTCTACAACTACCTGAAAGGAGGTTGTAGGCAGTGGGGGCCAGTCTCTTCTGCCATGCCAGCAGTGAGAAAACTACAGAAAATGGCTTTAAACTGAGATGGGGAGATTCAGATTTCACTAAGGTGAAAATTAGGGTGGTCAGGCATTGTAATAGGTGGAGGTGTTACTGTCCCTAGAGGTGTTAAAGGTGTTTGGATCTGGTGCTGGGTGATGTGGTAGTGCTGGGTTGATGGTTGGACTGGATAATCCTAAAGGTCTCTTCCAGCCTTGATGATTCTACAATTCCTTGAATTTTGGAATAACCATAGCCATGTGACAGGTTTATTGGCAGAAGAGTGCTGTCCTGTTTTAGGATCTTGTACTTGCTGGTTGCTCTAAAGCATTCTGTCATCAATAGGTATTTACATCATCAATCTGAAGAGAACCTGGGAAAAGCTCCTCCTGGCAGCACGTGCCATTGTTGCCATTGAGAACCCAGCTGATGTGAGCGTCATTTCCTCTAGGAATACTGGACAGGTACGGGCATTTGTTAATCATGAGGCCTGCAGTCTCAATAGCAGGACAGTCTTGTCATGCATCATTGCCTGCCAGTTGCAGCTTGGTGATAAAAGGCAGTAACACTAGTTTTAATTTTGGGAACACTTTGGGAAACATGTTTCTTGTGTTATATTTGCAGCTTAAAACGGATCATTTGAAACCCACTCCCCATTTTTGTAGTTTCAGAGCATTTGGTAACTTATTTGTCTTCTATGTCCTCCCTTGGAAACTTCCTTTTGTATTTTCTGGCATATTAGTGGCCAGTCCCCTGGTGTCCTCTTCCCCCCCCCATGAGTAATTGATTTTTTGGGGACAATAAGGACCTAATAGAAGAGTTTTCAAAGAAATAATTTTCTCTGTTATTGAGCAAGATATAGTAACTGGTATATTTGTAATTTTTGTCTGTAGCGTTATAGCAAAAAATTTTTCTTGTAGAAGATAACTACCTTTAAATAAAACTTACTAATCACTGGAGTTTGTGAGATTAGTTTCTTTGGACTAACGCAGCTGGGGCCACAAACAGGGAGATTGTGAGTGGCACAGGTTGGATTTATGAAGGAAAAACCTGAGTTCCTGGGGGGTTGACATGCACACTGTTAAAGCTTGATGCTGAGGTCAGTTTCTGGCCGATGAGCTCTCAAGTGTCGGAGGTGTGCGACAGCAATGGATGGCAGGGTTTTTGCTAACGCCAGGAGAGGGGCTCCCTCTAGGACTGGAGTTCAATAGTAGGCCCTGCCACATGCCTGCGAAGTTGAAAACTGTTGCGAGTAAGAACTGCCAGCTGGAATTTTAGTGGACACAGCCACAGTTTGCATGTATTTACTATTAAGCTTTTCCTGTAGTTCCTGAAGTTATGCTACTGGATAATGAAAGGATGTAGAGATAACAGAAGAAAATTGGCTTGTTTTTGTAATAAGCTGTTTGTTTTATCCCCCTTTCATGATTTGATTATGAGAATTTGGAGTAGAGCTTGCAAATTACTTTAGGGGAAGAGAAGAGTGTTTTCTGTATCCTGACTTCCTGCTTTATTGGTGGATATGACGTTTTAAACTCATGGTGTAGCTATTTTCAGAAACATTTTGTCTCCTTCTGCGATGATGAGCCCTGATTTCACATATATTGAAACAAGTAGTTCAGTTAAATTCTGTGCATATTCACTGACAGTGCCTGGGCGAGTTGGTTGAAATGCGGTTTTCCAGCTTCACCGTTGCTGTGGTCCATTTTGCAGCGTGCTGTTCTGAAGTTTGCTGCTGCCACTGGGGCTACTCCTATTGCCGGACGTTTCACCCCCGGTACCTTCACCAATCAGATCCAAGCGGCTTTCCGTGAGCCACGACTCCTGGTTGTCACGGACCCCCGGGCTGACCATCAGCCCCTGACAGAGGCGTCTTATGTCAACATCCCCACTATCGCACTGTGCAACACCGACTCCCCACTGCGCTATGTGGATATTGCTATTCCCTGCAATAACAAGGTAATGGCTTTGTTGTAACATTCCAAGCAGCTTCTTCCGTAGCATGCCCTGTGTTTGCAAGATGGATGCTTTCTGCAAGGGAGAGTTGGCTTGTATCTTGTGTGTCTCCCAGGGGAACAAGCTAATAATTGTCTCTTGCAAACTGGCAGGCGGGTGGGGAGGAGGAGTTAAACTGCACACAGTTGGAGCTTGGAGCTGAGGCTGCTTTCTGGCCAAGGAACTCTCAAGTGTAGGACGTGTGCTATAGTAACCTGGCAAGATATTTTGCTGACGCCATGAGGGTCTTTGTGGCCCAGTGAGTGGAGTTTGATAGTTATTCTTGCCACAGATTATGAATGTGAATGAAAGATAAAGTGAACTGATGAAGGAACTGCTCTGAAACATTACCTTGCCAGAAATCACCTGAAAGGTAAAGTATAGGAAAATGAGAAGCTTCTTTAGACTATCTAGATGTCAGTCACCAAAACTAATGTAAGCCACATCTGAGCATGTGTGTAAGCTTTGCTTATTTCATCAAGTTTTCAGTTTCTTCATTCTAGCATATGTGATGAGCATAATCCCTGGTTTTTTGATGAGATTCACATGGGATAGTGACCAGTATGAAACTCCATAGCAAGAGATTTACCTTGGGCTATGTTGTATACAACAGACTCACATGTTGGTGACTGACGTGCACTGCAACTCCTGCTGAGACCTGAAAGTGTCACTGGGAATGTGAAAAGTTGCCCTTTTTTTTGTGTCTAAGTATACAAGTCTGGGTATGGGCAAGTAATGTCTTTCTTTCACCACAGAAGAACCTTGGATTAGGTACAAATAAGTCTTTTGCTCTTTCTTCAAAGGTTTAGCTTTACAGAAACTCTCACCTACTTTCTTCTGTTCCAGGGAGCCCACTCAGTGGGTCTGATGTGGTGGATGCTGGCTCGGGAGGTCCTGCGTATGCGTGGCACCATCTCCCGTGAGCACCCATGGGAAGTCATGCCTGATTTGTACTTCTACAGAGATCCTGAGGAGGTAGGAGCCCCATGGCAGGAAGTGTGTCTCTGAGATGTTTTGCTTGTGCTCCCACCCCGTTGTCGTGTCTGCTAGCTGTTGAGGACGGCTTTTGCCAAAATAATAATTGCACTTCACACTTAAATGTGATGGTTGGTTAATTGTATTGCCTGTTAGTGCCTGCTGTCTGATGTGTTATAGTAGGTGTGGTGATGTGTTCCTGGGATACTCAGGCTGGGCTCTTCCATTGCAGATTGAAAAGGAGGAGCAGGCTGCTGCCGAGAAAGCTGTCACGAAGGAGGAGTTCCAGACCGAATGGACGGCCCCAGCACCTGAATTCACTGCTCCTCCTCAGCCTGAGGTTGCAGACTGGTCTGAGGGAGTGCAAGTCCCATCTGTACCCATCCAGCAGTTCCCCACAGGTCAGTTTGAGGGGTGACTGTGGGAAGGGAGGGATGTTTTGTGGGTGGGAAGAGCTGGGGTGCACTTAAGTGTTGTCTTTGTGGTTACAGAGGACTGGAGCGCCCAGCCTGCCACCGAGGATTGGTCAGCAGCTCCCACAGCCCAGGCTACTGAGTGGGTTGGCACTGCCACAGAGTGGTCTTAACTTCAGTCCCACTGTACTGTGAGAGAAATAAAGCCTGGTTTACTATACACTGTGCCTGGTACTGCTTTTGTAGACTTGTTGTCTCGTGTGGGTAGTGTGGGGCACAGTCCTCAGCCAAGAGTGGGGGGGTTGTGGGTTCTGTCCCTGCCTGCAGCAGTGGGCTGGGCTGCCCCTCCTGCCTGCTTGCCTGACAAAACACAGCACCAGGGCTCAGGGTGGGTTTCACATTTCCCGCCTTGCCTGGCTCCATGCCCCCCGAGTGATGAGGCAGCTCCCTCTTGGCCAGCAGGAGTCCAGCTAGGGTGGCTTTGCATGTGGGTCTGGAGGGGAGGTCATGAGGGGTGGAGCTGGTTCTTCCACCACTCCCTGCACCCCCGGTGGGTGGGTGATGCTGGGGTCCACCCAAGCAGAGTGTTTTCATTATTCTGCCTGGGGTTTCACAAGTTCGCAGGGCAAAGAAGGTTCTGGTGACTGGGTGTGGGAGGTGGCCTGACTGCACAGTGTGGAGAGGAGAGCCCTTGAGTGGGAGCTGCTCCCTTGCTGAAACCCCAGCTTCTAGCATCAGTATTGCCAGTTCCTTCCTCAAAAATACTGCAGTATGCTTCAGGAAAAAACCTCCACATTCTTTTGTCTGCTTTAACTCTTTTGAGGATTATATTGCTGTGATTAATAGCAATAGTGGGAGGTAGACCCTTCACCAGGAGAAATGGGGATTTTTGTTGGAGATCAAATTGGATCCTTTTTTTCCATGTTGCTGTGGTCTCGGATTCTCTTTTTTGTACCTTCAGCACTGCCAATTAACCTGTAAAGAATGTTTGCTCTTAGCACATGTGCTCATTTGATTTTACTGTAATAGTGCATAGTAACAGTAAAAAAACCTAAAGCAAGTTATGTATATTATTGCACAGCACATATCCAAAGGAGGGTGATTTTTTTTCCTGTTGTCTTTACCTAGTACATGCAAGGTGACTAAATATTCAGTTAATAACAAAAAGCTTTTAGCCAAGAGGCATATAAGCACTTCACCATTTGGCCCTGAAAGGGGCCTGTTCTGTTTGTGCACTATGTTCTTCAGATGTGTGTTTGTGACACATCCTCAAGTACTTCACTTTCCAGCACCCAGCAGTGAGAGGCTCCTTCCTGTCACCTGAGGTCTGTCACTGGTGTGTTGGGGTGGGTTGAGACCTGGTCGCTTTGGGACTCTGGGTGGGCTTTGTACCTGAATCGGGGACAGCCTGTACAGCACCTGCTGATTCTCTCCCCAGATCTCAGATTGCCCCAAATAACTTTTTGCTCTTGACTTTCTTTTCACTCTTCTGCATTAACATTTCAAAACTCAGAGCATAGTCTTACCCCTCTGTATAGTGAATCACTGCTATTACTGTTACTGTTTCACCGTTGTCCCTTTTCTTTATCTGTGTTGTAACCTCCTTCATAAGCGTAAATGTTCAAGTTAATGAGTATGTAGCAGTCATCAGACAGCTCCTGTGTGGGTGAAGGTGCTGTTTTAAATAATTGAGACCTGCATCTGAGTACTTGTTACTGAAATATTTCTGGTATGTTACTGAAATGTGGTTGTTTTCATTTAAGGATTTCCTGATGTATCCCCTTGGCTTTTATGACTGGGATTCTTCTTAGAACCAAGGACTGTCAGTGAGGTGGATCTACACATCATGGGAAAAGAGGGTCAGGAGACCTCTGCAGTGGAAGAGCTCATTTGCCTGGAGCTCTGCAGAGGGGATGAATAGCAGCCTTTTAGAAAAAAAGGCAGCCTTGGCTGCAGCAGCAGAGGGCACATTGCAGGAAGGCTGTGTTCCTCAGCATACCGGAGGCACAGGGAAGGAGAATTCTCAGCACAAGAGTGCAGGCAGCAGCAGAGATGTAGCAAAAGATCCTGCATCTGCCAGAGCTTCCCGTGGCAAACACCTGGCAGATGTGATCTATTGAGGCAGTGTAGAGGAACAGGAAGAGGAGGTAGGAGCAATCCTAGAGGTAGTGCCTTGTTTATTATTGCAGGGTTTTTCCAGCAATTGCATTGTTGATGTTGAAAAAGGACAGCAGAGAACTTAAAACTCTGTTCTGGATTGATCCGATTTGACTCAAAATGGTTTAGGCAGAGGTCTCCATGTAGTGAAAACAACTTTTTTCCCTTGAGGGTCATGGTGGTGTTTCCTTTCTCTGTGACCATCTGTCTGTATTCAATTTGGGTTGTTAGAAGTGGGTTGAGTTGGGCTAGATACACTTCTTAGGATACCCTTTTTTCACATTTGGTCTCGGCAGGAGCCGACTGGTGTTGCTGAGCATTACAGAACCCCCCTGGAGAAATGAGCTATTGAAGAGTCCCTGCCAATAATGCTACTATGTGATCCATGAATCTCTCATACACATCTGCTTTCTAATTCCCTCCCTAATTTATATGCCACCATTTACAGATGTTCCTTTTCCTCTCCAGTCACTTCTTTGCCCAAATAATCATCATATTTTTAGTATCCAAGTATTGTAGGATTACACCAAGGCTTTTCTTTTGCAGGGTTTTATGCACAGTTGAAGAGACTCATCTCTGTTTACTTAAATCCAGTCTGCAAGAATGTTCCACTCTTTCCATCTGTAGCCTGTCTTGCTTTATGAAACTGTGAAAATGGCTATAGGATGTTTGATGCTGAATTTTAGGAGTATGGTATACTGATATTGTAAGCCTGTTTACTAAAATCAGTGCAGCACGTAAGTATGCAAAGGAAACCGAGGTGTGTGTGATTGATGAATTCACCTCACTGCTTCTCTTAGAGGCTTCCTCTGTGCCCAGGACTACGACCATGCAGTTGAAGTGGATCTTGTAATTTAGAGGGGTTTTTTTTCCCTTGGATTAATATGCATGATGCAGATAGACTCTACATGGAGTAAAGCACATAGTAAATCTGAACTGTCATGAATGCAGCACTCTCCGAACCTGTGTATCTTGAACCTTCTCTGGACAGATGAAGCCTGTCGTGAATACGTGTGTCCTGGCAGAGGAAGGAAAAATAAAAACATATCAGATTTACCTCATTATTGCTGTAGGACTAAGGTGTTGCTGGAGCATTTTCCCACTGCCCTGCAGCTTCCAAGGAGATATCAGTCAGCATTTCAGGCCAAGTTTCTTTCCTCTAGCCACTGCTTGGCACTATTAGCTCCCAGCCCTTGCAACCTAGAGCTTGTGAAAACCACAAAGCCTCTGAGTTTGTGAAAACCTCATCTCCACCAAGTCTGTATAACATGTAAAGGTAGAACTGTGTGTTACAGCTGTATGTAGCACTGGGAATGAAGAACATTGTTGATTATTGGTCCTACAAAGAGGCAGACTGTGATAACCTCGGGCATGGGCACAGTCTTGCTACGTCACAACACAGATTTTCTGAATTCCTTGCTTTGTGGGATGCTGATTTCTGAGCCTGTTTTTATTTGCTCTTTAAATACTTGTGTTTTTCGGAATGCTCACTGCCATTTTCTACTGTCCAAATTGGAAAGCATGTAATTTTTATTTATACACTCAGCAGTCACTGATGAACAAAACTATACAGTGAAGATACTTTTTTGATTGTTATCTCAATAGCTGAAATAACATCTCTTTTTGGGGCTGCTGCTTAAACCTCAGTTTATAAAGTGTTAATAAAGCCTGAGTTTAACTAGCGTGTATCTTCTCATATGACAGAATCCTAACTATTTCTGTCAGTGTTTATTTCACTGATTACGAGATTGTTTTTACTAGTACTGTTCAAGCATTAATAAAATAAATCCTTAAAAGACATGGCATCATTTGAAATGATGGCTCCCTAACCCTGCTTTGAAGGCCAGAGAAACCTGCTTTTGTGGAAAATCTTTGTCTTCATGCTTAAGTGCCACTGCACTACACCCAGAAGGGTTCCTTGGGTTCTAATTCTCTTTGTTTTAGTACAGAGTCTAGATGGTCACTCTCGGGCAGGACAAGGTACCACAGTGCACCCATGCCTCTGGCACAGACCACCTTCCAAGGGTGTGGTGTGCCCACTACTCTTAGTGTGAGGCTTGGGTTTTTACAGCAGGCAGCTCAGAAGAGGGGAACAGGGCGTGCTGTATGGGCCAGAGTTGGGTGTTGAGGACTGAAACAACATTTCAGGTGCTCAAAGGGGCTACACGCCTATGCACTGTATAAATGGGTTTGGGTTAGGTTTAGGGTTATGCAAAGCAGGGAGCTCGGTGTGAGAAGTGTGGCATGTTGCAAAACTCCGAGCTGGTCTGCCAGGAGGACAAGTTGTGACAAAGATGGAGAAGATTTTGCCATAACAGGGCATCTCAGCACTGCTCTGTGCTGTAGCTGAAAATGTCAGGGTGCGGCTGTACAGTCTGGAAAGCTGCTGTGAAGCCCTAGTTCTCACCTGGAATGCTGAATTTGTTAGCATTGTCCAAGAAACTGGTTCCAGAGGCTGTTTGCCTCTCACCTCTGGAGAGCTGGGGGATGCCGAGAGTGAAGGAGATAGTGTGGATATTTGCTTTTTGGGTCTGAGCTAGATCGGGATGACAATACCAGCCTTTTGCCACTCTCATACACGGGCACGTTAAGGGAAGTGGCTTTCTAGGAGCAGGCAAACAAACGCGCGAGCATCGCTTCCACCTGGCAGGTGTCGGGAGAATGATGGTGGTGGGTTGCCCAGCTGCAAAATAGGAGGGTGTGGATCATTTCCCAGTCTCCAATAGGTGGGGCTGTTATTCCTGGTTTGACCGCGTTTCAGCTGCTGCTGGCACCGACGCAGGAGAACTGGACAGAGCAGGCACCGGGGAGGGGACGGTACTGGCCTGGCTTCTTTACTTCCCTGCAGCAGAATGATGCCCTCTCATAGGGACCATAATGCACTATAATACTTTTTTTTTTAATACCCTGCTGTTTTTCTGTATGTGTTTGAGTGTTAAACTTGTTGCCTCCGCGCTCAGCTGCAAACCTTGATCCTGCTTTTAATTTCCCTAAGGGAGCAAGTGTGGGATGCTGCTGGCTGCAAGTGCTCCTAGTCGAAGATATGTTGGAAGCTTTCTAGCT